CAGGATGGTCTCGATCTCCTGACCTCGTGATCCGCCCGTCTTGGCCTCCCAAAGTGCTGGGATTACAGGCTTGAGCCACCGCGCCCGGCCAACAGAATGTTTTTAAGGTTTGTCCATGTTGTAGCATGTGCCAGAACTTCATTCCTTTTTATGGTGAAATTTTACACGCACACATTTTGTTTATCCATTTCTTTGTTGATGGACACTGGGGTTGTTTCCACCTCTTGGCTATCGCGAGTAGTGCTGCTGCGAACATTCACGTGCAAGCATCCGTCTGTGTCCCTGTTTTCAATTCTTTTGGGCATATTCGTTTTTCTTTCTTTTCTTTTCCTTCCTTCCTTCCTTCCTTCCTCCTTCACTTCCTTCCTTCTTCACTTCTCTCCTTCCTTCCTTCCTTCTTCACTTCCCTCCTTCCTTCCTTCTTCACTTCCTTCCTTCCTTCTTCACTTCCCTCCTTCCTTCCTTCCTTCCTTCCTTCTTCTCTTCCTTCCTTCCTCCTTCACTTCCTTCCTTCCTTCTTCACTTCCCTCCTTCCTTCCTTCCTTCTTCTCTTCCTTCCTTCCTCCTTCACTTCCTTCCTTCCTTCCTTCTTCACTTGCCTCCTTCCTTCCTTCCTTCCTCCCTCCCTCCCTTCCTTCCTTCCTCCCTCCCTCCCTCCCTTCTTTCTTCTCTTTCCTTCCGTTCCCTCTTTTTCTTTCTTTTTCTTTTTTTGAAACAGGATTTCACTCTGTCACCCAGGTTGGAGTGCAGTGGCATGATCTCAGCTCACTGCATCTTCCACCTCCCAGGTGCAAGTGATTCTCATACTTCAGCCTCCTGAGTAGCTGGGATTACAGGTGTGTGTCACCACTCCTGGCTAATTTTTGTATTTTTTAGTAGAAATGGGGTTTCACCATGTTGGCCAGGTTAGTCTCGAATTCCCGACCTCAGGTTATCCGCCGGCCTCGGCCTTGCAAAGTGCTGGGATTACAGGCATGAGCCACCCCACCCAACCACTCCCAGCACTTTGGGAGGCTGAGGCAGGAGGGTTGCTTGAGACTAGGAGTTGGAGACCAGCCTGGACAACACAGTGAAATTCCATCTCTACAAAAAAATTAAAAAATTACCCAGGCGTGGTGGCACAGGAGGCTGAAGTGGGAGGATCGCCTGAGCCCTGGGAGGTTGAGGCTGTGGTGAGTCATGATCATGCCACTGCACTCCAGCCTGGGTGACAGACTGAGACGCTGTCTCAAAACAAAACAAAACAAGAAAGAAAGAAAGAAAAAGAAAATTAATTCAGAACAGTGTGGAGGAAAAAACTCCAAGACAACAATGATTTCCTTCATGTTTTCAAGGTATGTTTTGTAGCCCCTTATTTTTCTTACATGCCCTTCCAATAGTCCATTCCTGCTACTGTGCTGTTACTTTTTCATCCTGTGTCTTGGTTGTTATGTCTTTGAAACAGGGTTGCATAAGCCTCTGCTCTCCTACACTGGCTGTGCAGGCAGAAGAGCCTGAGATGCCCAGCCCTGGTCTCCACCTGCCTGTGACCTTCACCCATCTGGGCCTGACCTATATACGGGGCCTGCCAGCTCACATGCTCTGGATGCCCACCAGCCCTGGCCTTCTCTCACCAGGCTCACTAGCACTCTCAGTGCAGGTCACCACAGGGCAGGGGTTTGGCTGATGGCTGCTGGGCTTAGTGGCGGGTCAGAGTCCCCTTGTCCTAACAGGTGGCTTTGTCTTTCCGCCCCAGAGCAGGAAGAGAGGAGCCGGGAGGCTGTGGAGCAGTGGCGCCAGTGGCACTATGACGGCCTGCACCCATCCTATCTCTACAATCGCCACCACATCTGATCGCGTCGTGAAGCCAGCCAAGAAGATGAAGCTTGTAGCACACATTGGCATCCCCGTGTTCCAGCAACCTTCCCCATGCAAACTGGCCCTTCAGAGGGTCTCGGCCTGGGGTCTGCAGTGGCCGGCAGCCCTGGAAAAGACACATGCCTTTCCTTCCAGTGTATGAAAGTGCCCTGACTTTCACCTCTTTGCAGACCGTCTTCTGAGGTGAGCAACTGCCTGCAGGGCCTCCTAGCACCAAACCTACAGTGGCTTCCCCTGGCTTCGTTCCCAAGCAAAAGAATCACAGTCAAGAATTACATATTTGCTTATGGCTTACAAATAAAAACGCTGAATCAACCTTGTGTATTATCTTCTCAAATCTCTAGCCGAGGGGTGTCATGCTCTCTCCCCTGAGCGATGATGAGATTCTCGCTGAACTGGGTGTTTGAAAGCTTGAACTTGAGGAGCATTGCTCACTCTTCTCAGTATGTCTCGTATGCCACTGAATATGCTAGAGTTGACTCACCCAGTCCTCCATCAGTGTGATCGATTTCTGGACATGAAATGCTGGGTTATAATTTTTTTTTTTTTTTTTTGAGACAGGGTCTCACTCTGTCACCCAGGCTGCAGTGCAGTGGCAAGATCATGGCTCACTGCGGCCCCGACCTTCCAGGCTTAGGTGATCCTCCCACTTCATTCTCCCAAGTATCTGGGACTCCAGGCACGTACCACCATGCCCAGCTAGTTTTTGTATTTTCAGGAGAGACGGGGTCTTGCCATGTTGTCCAGGCTGATCTTGAACACTTGAGCTCAAGCAATTCACTCACCTCGGCCTTCCAAAGTGCTGGATTACAGGCGAGCCACTGCACCCAGCCGACTTCTACATACTTTAAACTGGCTAAATCGAATTTCTCTTTGAAGAGGTTCTGTGCTTCCTATCGCTGGGCATCTTTGCCGATCCTTTCTGAAAGCAAGTAAATTAAGACCAGAAAAGTCCTGGGTAGGGGACAGGGGTATTTGAAATATATACTATTCATGGTGTCTTTTCAGACAGCAAATCTCGCCTCCAGCTCCATTAAATTTAACCAAGTTAGACTTAACCAGGTGCCTAGTGCAGACCCTAGCTATGTGATCATGTACTTCTACCATCCATCTCAATGCCTTCAGGCTTGGCTAAACAGAAAGGCTGTTTAGGAACCCGCAGCTCTCCACAAACCTCCTTGAAAGTGTCACGCAGCTTTCAGTAAAGCAATGTTCTAGCAGTGGAAGAGACAGGTATAACAGAAAAACTTTAAGGCCAGGTGTGGTGGGTCATACCTGTAATCCCGGTGCTTTGGGAAGCTGAGGCAGGAGGATGGCTTGAGGCCAGGAGTTTGAGGGTGCCGTGAGCTATGACCAGGCCACTGCATTCCAGCTTGTCGGACAGTGAGACCTTATCTAAAAAAAGAAAGAAAGAAAAAATGAAATTTGATAACAACATGTGTCCATCTCTAGATTAGTTATCAAGTGGATGGTGAGCCTGCCAACTGGGGTTGGCAGTTTGGCAGCAGTGCAAGCTTAACCACTGCTAGCTCAGATCCTGAGTCAGGTGTGCAGGCTGTTCAGCCAGCAATACCAGGGAGGTTGCACTGTATTGGTACATAACTGACCTTCTGGTTGGATGCCAAGTCGGGCCCTGTAGTAGGTAGCCTCTGCTTACAAGTTTGTTTTTTTTTTTTTTAATTAATGACTTAAAAAAATACTCGGTGCACAACAGAAAAAAAGGCAAAGTGTTGCTCTGTCACTTCCATGGAGAAACAAGAGGGGCCCCAGTCTGGTTCATATTGGTCAGGATAACACACCCCAATGCTTTCTGGCAAGAGGGCAGTTCCCCTTTGCTGCATGATAGTGATCAGATGGATGTCAACCAATGAACTGACTCACAGCCACACCATGCACCACCTGCCTGTCGTGTGTCCACAGGAAGGAATGCAGGGGTTTTCAGATGTCAAAAACTAAGAATGGCTTGCTTCAAAAAAGCAAAACAGCCTGTCCTTGCCTCTTCCCTGGTCATGCTTAGCATGGTGGCTCTAGATACCGAACTCTGGCAGAAAGGAGCTGAATAAGAATTCCATCACCTTGTTCTACCCCCATCCTTAACAAGGGCTCCATTATACTTCAGAGTTTTCAAATTCGGTCCAGAATTCCTTCACCAAGTGCCAGCTGCGGTCACTTCCTTGGGCGGGAGAAGCGTAACAGTGGTAACACGACCTGGGATCTGGACAGCCACAGTTCACAGGAAATGAGGAACAGGGTGGTTTGCATTTCTGGAGACTGGCCTTGTCAAAAGTGTGGCCTTTGGGGCTTCTTTTGCTTGGGCTTCTCTGTTCTTTCATTACTTTCCCGTAGTTCTTAGTGGGTTCCAGGTAAGTGGTTGAAAACAAATTTGTCAAAGGATAAATCTGTCATTCATTTTTATTCACCAATTTTGCATATGTTGGAATTTCATTTTCCCGGTGCATGCTAAAGGTACAAGGAAAAAACAATGTTTTTGTGTGTTCCAGGAGAGATTTTACAATTTATTATAATGTGTCTTTGTTTATTTAGATTTTTTAGAAGGAACTGGTAAGTTTTGTGAGCCACAGAATGATTAAAACTTTTTTTTAACTTAATATGTGGTTTTTATCAATTACATTGAATTTTATTTCTAATTCATTTTCTGCAATTATGTTCTAATTCTTTGGGAAGTTTTTCATAATTTAAAAGTTCAGGCTGGGCATGGTGAGTCACACCTGTAATCCCAGTACCTTGGGAGGCTAAGGTGGGAGTGTCACTTGAGCCCAGGAGTTTGAGACCAGCCTGGGCAACGTAGTAAGATCTCATCTCTACAAAAAAAAATTAAAAATTAGTTGGGCATGGTGGCATATGCCTGTAGTTCCAGCTACTCGGGAGACTGAGGTGGGAGGATTGCTTGAGCCCAGTAGGTTGAGGGTATAGTGAGCTATATGACACCACTGCACTTCAGAATGGGCAGGAGAGTAAGACCCTGTCTCTAAAAAAATGTCTCTAGCCTTTAAGGGATTTCTGTAAAAACAAATTGGTTAAATATAAATGTTCTAGTCTACAATTGAGAATTCTGATATACTTTGTGATCTTGTAATGTTTAAAATTATAAATGTTTAAAAATGTTTTCTTCACTTTTCACATTATCTTGGCTTTTTAAAATTAAAAATAGTCTAACAGGTAATGCACACCCATGGTTTAACATTTTTAAAGAACAGAAAGGAATACAGTAGAAAGGTAGTCCCTACTGGGTCTCCAGAAAGAAACCACTATCACCATTGTCTTGAGTTTTCTTCGCATGATCCGTACACATCTATGTATATAAACTTTTTTCCATTTTTATTATTTATTTATTTATTTTTCTGCCAGGAACGTTGTGCTGACCATTTTTATTTTTATTTATTTTTTATTATACTTTTGTTCTAGGGTCCTTATTTTTGACCAGTGATGTTTTTGGGCAGGAGTGCAAGCTCAGCCTGCTCCTAGCTCAGATCCTGAGTCAGCCCTGAAGGCTGTTCAGCCAGTGACACCAGGGAGGTTGCACTGTATTCACACAAAACCAAAACTGTCCTGGTTGGATGCCATGCCTGGTTTAATGCCAGTTGGTTTCCCTATTTTTTTTTTTTTTTTTTGAGATGGAGTCTTGCTCTGTTGCCCAGGCTGGAGTGCAGTGGTGCAATCTCGGCTCACCGCAAGCTCCACCTCCCGGGTTCACACCATTCTCCTGCCTCAGCCTCCTGAGTAGCTGGGACTACAGGCGTCCACCACCATGCCCGGCTAATTTTTTTGTATTTTTAGTAGACATGAGGTTTCACCGTGTTAGCCAGGATGGTCTCGATCACCTGACCTTGTGATCCGCCTGCCTTGCCCTCCCAAAGTGCTGGGATTACACGCATGAGCCACCGCGCCTGGCCTGGTTTACCTATTAAACCAACTTTCTACCACGAATAAAAACCTGTATAGTTAATTTATAGTTAAGCAGTTTTTGTAAAGCTTTCCAAAAAAAAAAAAAAAAAGGAAAAAAAAACCTTCCTACAGGAATGGCAATGGAAATGTTTGAAGGGGACATGTCTGAAAAGAACCCTGATTTCACACGCAAACAAAGGTGAACGTTTTTCTAGATAATGTCTCATTAGTTTAGACACTAATAATACTTTCGAGTCTCAAATAACACACTAGTGAGTCTGGATCATTTAGTGTGTAAACCCCCAAGTTAAAGACTTGCAGAAATAAAAATGATAATCCCATTCCTCCGAGGCACTGAGGTCTGGAGTACTAGCTTATGATTTTATTAGCTCATGTTCTAAATTGTAACTTTTCATGCACTCAGTACAGAATGGAAGGGCACTGAGGGACAAGATATTCTATATTTATATTTTGTATTGTATTCCTCTGTCCTTTAAACATTTTAAACCATGTGTATTCAAACTATTTTTAATTAGAAAAGTCAAGATAATATGGAAAGTGGCAAAACTTTTTAAAAAAGTGTTAATACATTTAAGATCACAGAGTATATCAAAGTCATCAGTTGTAGACTAGAACATTCATATTTAACAAATTTCCTTATGGACAAATCCCTTAACTGCTAGAGACAGAACTTTTAAACTAAAGTGATTTACACAATTAGAATGGTATCCTGAAATCATTATTGGAAAAAATAGTACAGCATGTCCTTTAGAAAGTCACTGCAGATGTGGCCGGGGTGTGGTGGCTCACACCTGTAATCCCAGCACTCTGGGAGGCCGAGGCAGGTGGATCACTTGAGGTCAGGAGTTCCAGACCAGTCTGGCTAACATGGTGAAACAGTCTCCCCTAAAAACACAAAAATTAGCCGGGAGTGTCGGTGGGTGTCTGTAATCCCAGCTACTCGGGAGGCTGAGGCAGGGGAATCACTTGAACCTGGGAGGCAGAGGTTGCAGTGAGCCAAAATCACGCCACTGCACTCCAGCCTGGGTGACAGAGTAAGACTCCATCAAAAAGAAAAAGAAAAGAAAAAAATGAGTAATAAAAATAAGACCTGAAAGTCGAAATGACTTCTCGATCCATGGGTTGCAGATTGGAGGCTGTGTTAGCAGGCATGAAAACATTAATCTCTTTGTACGTCTCTGTCAGAGCTCTTGGATGACCAGGTGTATTGTCAACAAGCTGTGATACTTTGAAAGGAATCTTTTTCTGAGCAAGAGGTCTCTACAGTGGGCTTAATGTATTCCATAAACCAGATGTGCTCCAATCTGGGCTTTACTTTTCCATTTATAGAGCACAGAGTAGATTTAGCACAAATCTTCTTACAGGTTCTAGGATTTGGGGAAGAGTAAA